AGTGAACTCGGGCAGTACTGGGGTTCCAGTCTTTGAATTCTGCGTGGTTGGTCAGACGAGGCAATGTGAGAAGTAAACACAATTTGCTGTAGTCTTCTTTAGAAGGACAATATTCTTCTAAAGCATGTAGGCACTGCACCGCCTCTTGCATTGTAAATTCCAGCTGCAAAAGAAAGTGCATCCCTGATTAAGGCTAAATCCCTTTATTTTATAGTTTGTAGCTGTGTAAAAGTACAACCAGATAATTCCTTCAGCTGTTCAGATGTTCTTAATACCAGTTTCATTTTTAATACTTCAACCTAGCTTTTTAGATGTGATGGCAACTCCCACTTATTTTACCAATGTAATACAGCTCAATGTAACATTTTTCTATAGCAGCTCTGATAACTTGCACTAAATGTTATTACACCTATCTGTCCACAGCACTGCCTCTTTATTTACCATATATTGGCAGAAGCGATGCTGTACAAGGATTCCCTGCTCCAGTGGGCATAATGTGGTAGATGCACCCAATATGGCAGCTAAATTTTTCAAACCACAGTTCAGCTCCTATTGCGGTACGCTAACATTTTCTCACTCATATTTCAGGAGTCACTGCATCAAATGATTCTACAGACCTCACTGTTAAAATTTTATACATATTTCACATTCAATATATTTGCCATATATTTTGTATAACTATGAACAAGAGGTAAGACTCTGCTAAAACAGTGTATTTTGTAAGTTTGACATGCACAGAGTTAGTGCCTTACATGCTGAGGCTCATCTTCTGCAGACATTGCATTATTTACACATAAGGCTTCTAAAAACTTCTGCTTCAGGATGATATAGCGAAACCTGCACACAAGAAGATAAAAAATTCAAATAAGATAGTTACAGTATGTTTAACTAATATGAAACATATCTGGTAGGGTTGCGAAACCCCCCGGTTTGCCAGGGGTCCCCCATTTTGGGGGGGGTTCTACCCACCGCCGGCCAGATGGCCGGTGGGGGAAGCCCCACCCCCAACTCCCACAGCCACCCATCTCTTTCAAAAGCCAGCTTTGTTCTTAAAAGGGAAACGCAGCTTCTCTTAAAGGGGAAACGCCGGCTGCCGGCTACTTTAAGTGCAGGGAACTGCTGTTTCTGGAGATCCGGCGCACGGCCGGGTGGGGGGGCGGCAGACGCCCCCAACATGACGTCATCACGTTGAGGATGCCCCACCCCTTCCAGGAACGCCCCCAAAGTCCCCCGCTGGGGGTGGAAGATGGACTTGGCAACCCTAATATCTGGTTACCTAATAACTGTATCCTGTAATTCCTCATCATAATGGTGACAGTTTTGCTTAAGTTCTGTTTTGCTTTTATTTAAAGTAATGAAATCTCACTGTGAGAATTGCAATGTGTTATTCTTAGGGAGTTCAAGAAGCCTTGCAGGAGAAAGAAGTAAAGCTGCCATACTAATTATTCTAAAATTATTTTAAAAACCATACAGAGGTTATAGGTGAAAGCTGAAGTGCTCCATAATTGAAAGGCCTGTTATGGGATAATGGAGACTGCAGTTATAATTTTTCTAACATTCTATGCCATCATATTGAAAGCTGTTTTTTAAGTTTACCTTTTCTTGTCAAATTTGTCCATACACTCAAGAGGCTGGATGAACTGAAGAACCTCATCCCACTGACCATCAAGGATCAACTGCCTTAAGAAGGTTGAGAAAAATTATTGAATTACATTGATTTTTTTTCTTTTATATTGACCCAAGCATGCTTACAACGGCAGCAGCTGACCTGTAAGCGTCACAAAGTTAATGCTCTGGAAAGCACTTAATAAGATTATCTTCTCATTTAAATAGATAAAAGTAAAACCTAATCCTTGTAAATAACATGCCCATGTGGCACTAAACTCTGGTCTGAAAACAAGCCGCAAACATGCATATCTGACAAGTGGCATGGATGGCTCTTCACTGGGCTCTTTTGCCTTAGTATTTAACCATTTCTTCTACAATGCTGTTATTTCACAATCCAAAAACTAACAGATTTTGGAGATTGTAAACCGATTTTAGTTGTGTAGGCAGCTTCATATCCACTTGTAATAATTTACTCTTCCACATGAAATACCCAGAAGTCACCACATTGTGTCAAAGTGAGCACAAAGACTTTGCTAAAGTTGTACTCAGATAAAATGGGCGCTCTCTTAAATGCAATATAGGCTGACTGCAAAGCCTCTGTGACTGGGCAATTTCACTCCCAGAATGAACAGCTTCAACTAGAAAATACACACACACGCATTACAGCTATATCTGGTTACAAAAGAACATGTTTAGATATAATTTTAAAAAAGTATTTCCAAATGATCCTATACATGAGTCAGTTTTATGACTCCCCCTTGCAACTCATGTGTGAAAATTAATAAGCATGCTAATGAAATATTTATCTGAACACTTGCTCCTGTGATCTGTGCCTGGTGCAATGGAAACTACAGATCTTCATGCAATTTCCTGCACATACCCTATGCTGAAATTTGAAGGATATCACCCCAAACTCACCCAAAGAAGAGACAAAATATATGCATTGCATCAGAGGCAACATCTTACAGAATGGGCATATGCCAGTATCATAGGACTGGCCATCACCCTTTTAACTGAAGATTCAAGTGGCTTTGGTTTTGAAACAAGATGAAATTGAAGCACTTCTTCAACTAGAGGACAGAACCCAGAGAAAGACAGAGCTGACAACAGTGGATAATCAACTACCTTTCTCAAAAATTAAATGTAGTTCTGTAAATAGAATTGGGACTAAAGCACGCACACACAATACAGCCATACTTACCCCTCTTTTAGGGGGTAAAAGCAGATCGGATGGGGCTTATTTCTAAGTAAGCATGCACAAGATTTTTCTATAAACGTGAATATTTAGCCACCTCATATAATCTATTTTATGCTATTTTGTACAGAATACTACTAGCTGAATGTTGGGTAGTAGAAAAACCTGCAGATTATAACACAGATCAGTCAACATCATCTTTACTTATTATGGGTGTTTCACATAATTGCATTTTAAATCACTGAGTTCATAGTAGATAACTTTCATGACAGTAGCATGTTCAGACCCTATACATTTCTGGTGCTTAATAGGGCTGTAGATAATTCAGTGCTTATCTAGCACACATAGAAATGTATAATGAGGCAATCAATAAAAGGTCATGCCCATGATGTATCAAAGCAGTCAGAGTTATAGCGCAAATTCTTAATGCTGGTCAATGATCACTCAGCCTGTCTTCATATTAAGATTGCCATTTCTACCTTAAGAAAAGCATATCATCTGAGAACAATCCATTAATTACTCCACTTTCTTTCTCCAGAGCCAGCATACTGATATGAAGTTTTCTTGAATTCATAAAATCCAGTATTAGTTTGACTATTTCAGCTTCTTTTACATTCACTGTCTCTTCTGCCGTCATTGTGGAAGACTGAAAAGCAAAGAAAATAACTGCATTTCAATATAAACTGGGAAAAACTACTGTTCATAAATCATGTTAGCAAATAATAAATATTGTTACATTGATTTAAACAAAGAAAAACACAATATGATAGAATTCGTTGGCTGGCCTAAACAGTAAATTTCATGTAGTTTAGTACACCATTGTTAATAATCCAACCTTGATACAAACTTCCTAATATTACTATTAATGTTAAACACCCGTTTTCTAATAATTCAGGCCAATTGTACTATTATAATTTACAGCTGGCCCTTGCCCCTTACATAGAAGCAAATAAGATCAATTGAAAGTGATTGCTATAACATATAAAGCCTTTCTTGGCCTTGGACCCTTATGTCTGCAAGACTGCCCTGCCCTGCCACAATATCTTCACTCATCTAACCAGGGCCTTCTGCAGGTGCCACCCTGAAAACTGGCAAGATCTCTATATACGCATTCTCTGTTGTGACCCCCAGAGGAATGGCCTACCTGAGAAGGTCAGGAAGGATTCCAGCCTTCTGTAATTCCAGGAACTGTGTTAAACAGATGGAATTTTATAAAGACAATAGGTCTATTTGATAATGAAATGATTCAGGAGGGTGCTTTAATAAATGGAATGGGACTGTGGACTATATTACTGCATATCAATCTTATATTCTAACAAGAAGGGGGACCCGCGATACTCGCGGGGGGGGGGGGGAGAAGCTCCACGGGAGAAGGAAGCAGCCGCAGGTGAGCCTTCTCCCCTGCCCCCCCCCCGTTAGAGAATGAACTTGATATTTTGATTTATGGACTTATATTTATTGCTACACACAATGGACTGTGCACACACACACATAGGCTCAGAGAACTGTACACTTTAGGTCACCTGTTGTGATATAACGCATAGAAGGTACCTGCACAAGCCTTACACATGAATAAGGTTTTAGCTACACAGTTATCAGCCTGGTGAAGAAGCACACACCTCCATTATTGTGAGCAGTAAGAAACAACAACTTGAGCAGAGACAGCCCCCATTGCAGAATCATTTGTGGTCACATACGACACATCACTGCTTTGTTCCTGCATTGGTATTTCCTGCCAAATGGACATTTGGTTCACAAAGAGAATGGCCAGCTTCATCTACACTACAATGGAGCATCCTGACGCCAAGGTTTTCACACCTGCCCAGATGCCCTCCTTTGAGCAAAGTTTTAGGCTTCAATATTGGCCACTCCTGTTAGGTAACCACCCCTCCCTCCATGCAACCAATAGGATTGTTTTTGGGACGGACTAACAGGGAGGTGGGGCCGGAGGGTGGGACGCGGCCACCTCCTGGATCCCCCGATAAAAGGAGAGAACCAGTCACATGGTCTGTCTCTCTCCTACTTGATCAACTAGCTAGCATCCCCCGCAACAACCCCTGTCTGCTTTTTACTCCTCTTAAGTCCCACTTGCTATCCCCAAACCCTTGCCTCTACTTTGATCTCTTGATCTGCAGTCAAGAGACCCACACGTTCTGGCTGGTTCTAGTTGTGTGTGAATTTTCCCTAGATTTCTATTTCTTCCCATCCATTCTTCATTGGAACAACCATTGGAACATTGGACAGATAAGTATCACCCATCATCACCCCCACCTGCCAATGCAACAGTGCTTATTTTAATACTGTATTTCTAAGGAACTTGATTGAATGTGTGAGTGCATCAGTATTGTTTGTATGAGATTTATATTCTTTAAGTAAAAGACATTTATTTTAACAACACCAGCCTCGACTCCTTCTCTGGTAACCCTTGGTGGGAACAGGACCTTGGTATAGTTGGCAAGGACCCATTTATAAATTGCCAATTGCTGTAAATAAAGCAATTCGGCTAACACCCCGTCCCTGGCACCCACGGCAAGGCCTGCGCCCCTCCAAGCTTCCTCCCTCGCCAGCCCGCCAAACTTTCTCCCTCCTCCCCCCAGATGGCAGCAAGGGCTGAGCGGCTTACAGACGCCAGCCAGGCAAGCCTTCTCCCCCCAGCCCTCCCTGGTGGTGGCGGCGGCGACGCCGTTCTAAGAGCATTCCCTGCATATGCGCAGGGGATGCTCTTTTACTTTTGGGGGGATTTAATTATCCCCCCTATATTTTTTACAGTTTTTAGATTTTTCTGCACACCTGGACATTGCCCCACGTGCGCAGGAAAATCTCCCTGCCCCCCAGGTGCCCCTGATGTGCGGATTTAGATATCCACATGCAGGGGACACCTTGGGAATTAGATATATAGATAGCGAAGTCAGCCAGTTTTTGGATACTTAAATCCGGTGACTGGAGTTGTGAACAGACCTTTCTACAAATCTGAAAAGGGCCCCAAATTTGCAGGAAAATGTGAATGCTAAAAAAAGGGAGCTTTAAAAAATCCAAAAATGATCAAAGGAGTGCCTGTAGCATTAAGCAACAGTTTCCTTCAGTGGCTGTTGCTAGGCAACCACAGTATTCCAGGCTGGGTTCTATCAGTAAAAGGTGAGGGGGCAGGGCCCTTTTTAGGCCTATTTTGGCCTTTGAGGGAAGACTACTGTTGCCAGCTCCAGATTGGGAAGTTTCTGGAGATTTTATGGTGGAGTCTGAGAAGGGCAGTGTTTGGTGAGGGGAGAGACGTCAGCCAGATATAATGCCATAGCGTCAGCAGCCACCCTATGAAAGCCAGTGTGGTGTAGAGTTTAGAGCTTCACAGTAGGGTCTGAAAAACCCAGCTTCAAGTCTCCATCTTGGTGTGGAAGCTCACTTGGTGATTACGGACCAGGCACATACTTAGAGCCTAACCTATCTTGCAGGATTGTTGTGCAGATAAAAAAGGAGGTGAGGAGAATAATGTAAGGTGCTTTGATTCCCACTGTGGAGAACGGTGGGGTATAAATAAAGTAAATAAATAATAAATACAGTTGAAGACAGGAGGCAAAGCAAAGGTAAGTTAGTGAACAGCTGAAAAGGAGAGAATGAGGCAGGTAAAGGAGAGAGAATATGAGAATTGTCAGGGGGAGGGGGAGGGGAAATAGTTTAGGGAGGGGGATACAGGGGAAAGTGAGGCACCCCCTCAATAAATCCTTGAGGGTTCCCTACCCATGCAAGTGGGCCTGGCCCAGTGGCTGGACCAAACAAATGGGCCACTGTTTTCCTTGCTAGAGGTTGTTGGGGGGATGGACAGCTTAAGATAGAGGGGCAGATAAAGGCAGCTTGGCTGTTGGATGGGAAGGAGATAGGACTGCCAACTTCAGGTTAGGATATTCCAAGAGATTAGGGAAGTGGAGCCTGGGGACGATGGGGTTTGAGGAGGGGAGGGACCTCCTTCCTCCAAAGCAGACATTTCTTCCAGGGGAACTAAGGCTGCCAACATCCAGGTGAGCTGGAGATCACCTGGAGTTACAACTGCTCTCCAGATGACAGAGATCAGTTCCCCTTGAGAAAATGCCTGTTTTGGAGGGTGGATTCTATGGTATTATACCCTGCTGAGGTCGCTTCCTTCCCCAAATCTTGCCCTCCCAAGGCTCCACCCCTAAATGTCCAGGAATTTCCCAATGTGAAGCTGGCAACCTAAAAATGAACTGATCACCATAGTTGGGAGAATCCATTGTGATTCCAAGAGATCCTCAGGTTGGAAGGAGAGAAGGAAGCAGGAAAAGGGGAGAAGCTATGGGGGCTTTCAGGAAAGGGAAATAGTGGGGAGGAGGAAATTAGATGCCTCCTGCAAGTCATTGTGGATTCCCACTTGTCACAGCTGCGTTCTAAAAATAGATTTATTTGAAGATGGCAATATATGTTCCAAATGTCGGTGTCTACCAGCTGATAAAGCCTCAGTTTGGTTTTTTCCCACTCCTCACTTTGCATAAAACTGGTGACTGGCAGCCAGTTCCCAGCATGTGCATACACAAAAAAAAACAAACCCAGGCTCATGCACTGTTAAGATATGTAGCTGGTTAGGGAAAAAGAGATGGTCTCCTACAAAATTCTTCTGCATATGTTTGTAAAAAATGTAGTACCCAGCATTCTTACTACAGAGGTAATTCACAGGGAGAAATTAATTATATAGAGTAATCGGATATTAAGAGTTAATGCTTGTGGTCTGCCAGACTAGGATTGCTACTCTCCAGGTGGTGGCTGAAGATCTCCCAGAACTACAACTGGTCTCCAGATTACAGAGATCAGGTCCCCTGGAGAAAATGGCTGCTTAGGAAGGTAGACTGTGTGGCATTATACCCCACTGAGGCCCCTCCCCAGGTTCCACCCCCAAAATCTCCAGGAATTTCCCAACCCAGAAATGGCAACCCTGTGCCATTCACAGAGATTTCATTCTGGGCACCCATACAACTATTCCACTTTAGAGTGCCTCTGTTTATTCTCCCAGTGCTTATGAACTTTCCTCATTTAAAAGGATATGCTTACCATGGCAAGTGTACTACTAAAGACAGAGTAATATAAAAGTATTTATCTTTGTAATCATAAAGCATCTTGCTGTATGAAATGAATCAGCAGGATTCTGAAGCCACAAACCGCAGAGCATTTCTAGGATTTCTTATTAGGATCACCAGCCCTATGACCACAGGTTTCAGATCAGTTTTCCCAGATATTCATAAGCTTCGAATTCCTCTGAAGTTAATCAAATTTGAGTTCTTTCAGTACCCTACAAAATCAGGTTTATGAGTTCATGTATTTCAATTGTGGAACACTTTCTGGCACCTAGGAAGAACTTAGCACTATTGTTCCAAACATCTTTCACTGCAAATAAAATAGTGAACGCGCTTTTATAACCATGTATGCACATCTCAGCAGCAACCAAAAAGCAGCACAAATACAGGAAAGACAAAGATAGTTAAGATCCAACCATACTTATTTACTATCAAATAGCTGAACTTATGCTCATTATCCTTTTTGTGTGTTGAAACCAATGCCCATGATTGAAAAACCAAAAGCATGGAAACAAACTGATGTAGTAAATGCTTCAGCACATGCCTAGATGACTCACTCTAACACGTGATT